TCTACATTTAAAAAAATTTTAGGGAAAATCCCAGTAATTTTTCCCGGGGGAAAAACTGAGGGGGAAGTAGTAGAAATTTCCCCACCTTTCCTTAACATGTCGTGATCTGACCAGATTACTCTTAATGGGCCCCCTCCCTTTTCCTAATCTTAAATTCGTATACCTGAAAAACCCTTTTGGGTTTGTTTTTGAATCCCTTGGGGCCCTTTGCCTCATAATCCCTTTTTTTCTTTTCTTTTTCCTTTCTTTTTTTTCCTCTTTTAATTTTAATATATTGAATTTTTTAACTGCCCAACCCCCCTTTGATACGCCTAAATATGCCTCCTTTTGACAAAAATGTTTTAATCAAATTTTTCATCCATTTGGGATCATTTTTTTTAGATCTAATTTCCCTACTCGGAACAAATTGCTGGGGAAACTAGAACTAGCCTGAAAAAGTTTTTATTGGGAACCAAGTCACCCACCTGACCCCTAGGCAGGACAACCCAAAATTTTGCCCACCCATTTAATTTTTTAGTCCCATGAAGGGGCGGCCAAGCGAAAAACTGGGGCAGAAAATTTTAAATTTCAGTTATCTGGTAATTCCATGATATATTAAAACTAAGGGGATTTTTGATCAAATTTCCCCCCAAACTCATCATTAACCTCAAGAATTTTTAAAATTTGTGAAACTTTGTTGGCAAGAACCAAGTCCAAACAATTGTTTCCCCTATTTTGGGTTTTGTTTACAAACGTTCCCCAAAAAAAAATCCGAAATTATCAAAAAGTCCCCTAACTCAAGAAATTTTTCCCGTAATATTGTTCCCCAAACAATTGGCTAAAGTTAAAAAACTCCCCTTTTTACACAACATTTTCAACTAGAAAGCCTTTTGAAAAATTTTGTCCCCTAACACTTACTGGGGCCCCCCCATCAAGGGTTTTGGGGCCTATAAATCACACCCCAAAAAATTTAAATTTTTCATTCCCTCGAGAAAATGTGTTTTTGGGTTTTTAAAACTTTTATCATGTCTAAGACAACAATTTTAAAATTTTCTCTGACGTAAAATTTTCCCCAAACCCCCACCCTTCCGTTGACCCTATCAGTGGGAATAGGGTTTTTAAAAACCCCGGGAGTTTCATTCGAAGGGATTTCTCTTTTCTTTCAGGGGGAAAAAATTTTCTGTTATACCAATAATATCTATATTACCTACACCCTTGGGAAGTAATCTTAGTCATCTATTTATTTTTTAGACCCTACTATTGAAAATAAACCTTAAGGGGGCTAGTCCTCGTTCCCTCTAAATATTTTCTCTTTGTTTTTTTGATCAATTGATTTGCCATTACTACAACTTTAAATTTGGAAAATTTTTCCCTTTTTTTAAAAAATCCCAAGGTATCCCCCCGGGAATAACTGCTTTTTTTTAAAACCCCAATGCTGCAGGGCCGGGTTTTTTTCCCCCAAACACCCATACCTCATAAAACTATCATTTTTTAAATTCCTAGACAATTTATCAAATTTCCCTCGCAACGAATTGGGGTAATGCAAAACCCCCTTTCCCTTCCCCCATGTCCCCCAGGTATCATGCACAAGTGATCATGGCACAAGTTTATCCTGTCACCCTTTACATGGTTTACAAGTATCATGTCCCCAGGGAAACATTCACGGTGGGTCTTTTCACAAGTGAACATTCACAAGTGATCATGTCACAAAATGATCATGTCACAAGTATCATGTCCCAGGGGATCATGTCACAAGTGATTTATGTCAAAAGGGGATCATGTAAAAAATGATTTAGTCCCAGGATCCCGCACAATGATTCACCAAATAACATGTCCCCAAGTTATAAAAAGTCACAAGGTCATGTCACAGGTGATCATTTCACAAGGGGTTTATCATTCAAAAAATGAACTTTCACAATTTATCATGTTTACAATTTATCATGTACCCGGGATTTAGTCACAGGTTTATCATGTCACAAGTGATCATGTCACAAGTGATCATGTCACAAGGATTTTTTTAATTTAAAAAATGATCATGTCACAGGGGATCATGTCCCCAGGGTTATCTGTCACAAGACAAATTTACAAGTGATCATGTCACAAGTGATCATGTCACAAGGAGTGATTAAAAACAAAAAGATTTATCATTTCACAAGGGGTGAAACATGTCACAAGGTGATCATGTCACAATTTATCAGTCAAAAGGTGATTTATGTCACAAAGGGGATCATGTCACAGGTATCAAGTCCCAAATGATTTTATGTCACAGGGATCATGCCCCAAAATTATCATGTCACAAGTGAACATGTCACAAATGATCAATTTTCACAGGTGATCATGTCACAATGAACATGTCACAGGGGAAAAGTCACAAGGGGGTAAACATGTCACAAGGAGTATCAAGTCAAAAGTGATCATGTCAAAAGGTGGGTCTGTCCCAGGTGATCATTTCCACATTTATCATTCCCAAAGAGTGTCCCCAATTTCACAAGTGATTTATGCCCCAAGTGATCCCTGGGGCACCAAAATGATCCTGTCCCCAAATGACATGTCCAAATTGGCCCTGACACCAAGGAGTGACATGATAAATGACACACCTTCATTTAAAAACAAAAACATGATTCAAACACTTTTTCCTGTTAGCCAACGGGGGCAAAACTTGTTGAATAACCCTGTACCATTTGTTTCATCTTCAAGTACAGAGGGACACTGCCCCCACTGTCAAGTCCCCGAGGTACACGCCCACATCTGTCCCAAATCCAAGTTAAAAACCCGCCCACATCTGTCAAGTCCGGGGGTACACTTCTCACCTGTGTCCCCAAGGGCCCGAGGTACCCCCCACATCTGTCAAATCCAGAGTATAAATGCCCCTATCTGTCAAGTCCAGGGGGTACACACCCACAAAATGTAAGTTCAGAGGTACAAAAGGCCCCAAAATCCGCAAGTCCAGAGGTAAAACGGGCCCCCATCTTTCAAGGGCCAGAGGGACACTGCCTACATCGTCAAGTTCAGAGGAAAAATGCCCACATCCGTCAAGCCAAGGGACCTCCCCAAAAACCGTCAAGTCCAAGGTACAATGCCCACATCCTCAAGGGCCAGAGGTAAAATGCCCATAAACTGTCAAAGGGCCCCCAAGGGACACTTTCCCACATCTGTCAATCCAGAGATACACTGCCCACATCTGTCCCAAATCCCCGAGGGACAACCCGCTCCACTTTTTCAAGTCCAAAGGTTTCACTGCCCACATCTGTCAAATCCAGAGGGACAAGGGTCACACGTCAAATCCCCGAGTACACTGCCCACATCTGTCAGTCCAAAAGTACACTGTCCCAAACTTCAAGTTTCCAAAAGGGAAAACTTTTCCATATCGGGCCCAAGGGCCCCGCGGGAAAACTGCCCCCATCTGTCAATCCAAGGACACTTTCCCACACTTTTAAGCTCAAGGTAACACTGCCCAAATCTGTCAAGTCCAGATGTACACTGCCAAAAATCTGTCAAATCCCCAAAGGGACAAGCTCATAAACTGTCCCAAAACCAGAGGGACACTGCCCCCCATCTGCAAAAAAAGGTTTCAAAAGCTCACATCTGTCAAATCCCAGAGGGACACTTCCCACAAACCGTCAAATCCCGAGGAAAACGCCCTTTTCTGTCAAGTCCCCAAAAGGGACACTGCCCACATCTTTTCAAAATTTTCCCGGGACACTGCCCACATCTGTCAAGTCCAAGGGGACACGCCCCCCATCTGTCCCAAAGGGCCCGAGGGAAAACTGGGCCAATCTGTCAAAACCAGCTTTGCACTGCTCCACAAACGTTTAAGTCCGAGGTAACTGCCCCAACTGTCAAATCCAGAGGTTTCACTGACCAAAAACTGTCCCAAATCCAAAAGGGACGCTGCTTTCCCCATCTGTCAAGTCCAGAGGAACAACTGTCCACATCTGTCCCAAATCCAAGGGACACTGCCCACATCTGTCAAAGTCCAAGGGAAAACTGCTCCACAACTGCAAGTCCAGAGGGACACTGCCCAATCTTCCCGGTCCGAGGGACACTGCCCACATCTTCCCAATCAGAGATACACCCCACCTCTGTCAAGTCCAAGGTACCCCTGCTCCACATCTGCAAGTCCAGAGTTAAAACTGCTCCACACTGTCAAGCCAAGGTAAAAAATGCCCCATCGTCAAGTCCCCGAGGGACACGTTCCCCAACTGTCAAAACCAGAGGTACAATTCTCACATCTTCAAATCCAGAGGGAAAAACTGCCCACAAACTGTCAAAATCCAAAAACAAATGCCCAAATCGGGCAAGTTCAGAGGTACAAATCCCATATCCGTCAAGTCCAAAGGGACCCTGCCCCCAAAACTGGCCAAATCCAAAGGGACACTGCCCACATCTGTCAAGTCCAGATACCCGGGCCCCCATCTGTCAAGTCCCAAGGGACACTGTCCCCAATCGTCAAGCCCCGCTTTACACGCTCCACATCGTCAATCCAGAGTTACACTGACCACATCTGTCAAATTCAGAGGTACCTGACCCCCATCGTCGTCCAAGGTAATTTCCCCCCATCTGTCAAGTCCAAGGTACAATGATCCAAACTTTCAATTCCCGAGGTACACGCTCCAAAATTTTCAATCCAGAAAGGGACACTGGGCCCCAAATCATCAAATCCAGAAAGGGACACGACCATATCTTTCAAGTCCCCGAGGAAACAATGACATACTGTCAAGGTCCACAGGTACAATGGGGGACATCCCGTCAAGTCCAGAGGTAAACCCCCCCACACTGTCAAAATCCCGAGGGACAATATCCCTAATTTTGCAATTCCCGAGGTTTCATGCTCCAAAAATTTTTCAAGGTCCAAGTACACTGCCCACATCTGTCAAATCCAAGGGACACTGCCCACATTTCCCAAATCCGGGGGTACCAAAGCCCCATCGTTCCAAAACCAGAGGACACCCGCCCACATCTGTTAAGGGCCAAGGGACACTGCCCCCCATCTTCCCAATTCCCCAAATTTCAATGGTTACATCTGTCAAGCCAAGGGGACAATGGGTCCCCATCGTCAAGGCCAGAGGGAAAACTGACCACATTTGTCAAGTCCAGAGGTACACTGACCACATCTGTCAAATCCAGAGGTACACTGCCCACATCTGTCAAGTCCAGAGGTACAATGCTCACATCTGTCAAATCCAGAGGTACACTGCCCACATCTGTCAAGTCCAGAGGTACACTGCCCACATCTGTCAAGTCCAGATGTACAATGGTTACATCTGTCAAGTCCAGAGGTACACTGACCACATCTGTCAAGTCCAGAGGTACACTGACCACATCTGTCAAGTCCAGAGCTACACTGCCCACATCTGTCAAGTGTACAGCTACAGTGCTTCCTTTAAGTCCTGGGATCAAGAGTCCTCCAGCAGATATGAAGGCTGATATGGGCGGCGGCGGCGACTGGCGGTGGTGACTGGCGGTGGTGACTGGCGGTGGTGACTGGCGGTGGTGACTGGCGGTGGTGACTGGCGGTGGTGACTGGCGGTGGTGACTGGCGGTGGTGACTGGCGGTGGTGACTGGCGGTGGTGACTGGCGGCGGCGGCGGCGACGGCTGGCGGCCTTCAGGTTCCTCACGACATATGTATTTTGGGTAACTAACAAGTGCCAAGCTCACCTGTTTCCTGCCGCCAGTGTTGGCACTGTCCCTGGCACCACCTGCAGTGCCACAACCCATTATTATACTCATGGGGAAGCACTAAACCCGTAGAGGCACTACCTGCAGTGCCACAACCCATCCTCATACTGACGGGGAGCTGACAGGACAGACAGGGACAGCAACAAGCCGTCACAACTGGAAGTTGACGACTCATATGAGTCACTGAGATGTTAGGAAGTATTTCTTCAGTCAGAGTTGTCAGGAAGTGAAACAATCTGAGAGAGTGATGTAGTAGACGCAGGATCCATACATAGCTTTAAGAAGAAGTATGATAATCTCATGGAGCAGGGAGTGACCTAGTAGCGACCAGTGAAGAGACGGAGCCAAGAGCTGTGAATCGACCCCTGTAACCACATATAGATAAGTACGTACACACACACACACACACACACACACACACACACACACACACACACACACACACAAGAAAGCTGAAGACATACGCAATTCGCGTATTGCCTAAGTCAGTAAGTGGAGAACACAAGACCAGTGGCTTACCTCTGTAAGTTACAAGTTAAGATACAATGGTTCAATTTCTCTCTCTCTCTCTCTCTCTCTCTCTCTCTCTCTCTCTCTCTCTCTCTCTCTCTCTCTCTCTAATCTTTGGCTAACAACCTCAAGTAGTGTATGTATGGAATACAAAATAAGACGATTAGTGTGTACACATACGCACACACATACACCAAGTACTCTGTACACTGTGTACGTCAGGCCCATACTGGAGTATACAGCACCAGTTTGGAACCCACACCTGGTCAAGCACGTCAAGAAATTAGAAAAGGTGCAAAGATTTGCAACAAGACTATTTCCAGAGCTAAGAGGTATGTCCTACGAGGAGAGGTTAAGGGAAATCGGCCTGACGACACTGGAGGACAGGAGAGACAGGGGGGATACGATAACGACATATAAAATACTGAGAGGAATAGACAAAGTGGACAGTGACAGGATGTTCCAGAGATGGAACACTGCAACAAGGGGTCACAGTTGGAAGCTGAAGACTCAGATGAATCACAGGGATGTTAGGAAGTATTTCTTCAGTTACAGAGTTGTCAGGAAGTGGAACAATCTGGAGAGTGATGTAGTGGAGGCAGGATCCACACAGGATAAAGAAGAGGTATGATAAAGCTCATGGAGCAGGGAGAGAGAGAGAGTAGACCTAGTAGCGACCAGCGAAGAGGCGGGGCCGGGAACTGTGACTCAACCCCTGCAACCACAGTTAGGCGAGTACACGTGTGGTGCCCAGACATTAACAATAACATGTGGGTGAGTCGGGAAGCGTCCAGCAGGGACTGCGTCAAGGTAACTCTGAGAGCTGGTGAATGTTGTGTTATATTGGAAGACTCACAGTGAAGATGATCACACTGGCTGATAGAAGGAAGACACATGATAACCACACACACACACACACACACACACACACACACACACACACACACACACAACACACACACACACACACACACACACACACACACACACAACACTTTCACCTCACTCATACATGATCACTGTTTTTGCAGAGGCGCCCAGATACAACAGTTTAGAAGCATATATAAAGATATATAACAATCCCCTCCAAACTGCCAATATCCCAAAACACCTCTTTAAAGTGCAGACATTGTACTTTCCTTTAAAAGTACTCAAGTCGGCTGTATAAAAAAAACCCGGGTTCCCTTCACTAAATATTTCCTGGCTGCCTCTCCAACAGCTCGTCAGGTCCCAAAACCATTTGTTTCCATTCACTCCTTATCTAACACGCTCATGCACGCTTGCTGAAAGTCCAAGCCCCCCCCGCCCCCCAAACCTACTTTTACCCCTTCCCCCCCCCCCAAAAAAAACGTCTTCACGGAAACCCCTACTCCCGCCTCCCACACCACAACACACACACAAACACGCAACCAGGCCTAGTGTCTAACAACTTGTGCCTAGGAAAAAATGGAAACTAAACAACACACACACAACACACACCCCTACAAAAAGGCCTAGTGTCTAATCGACATGTGCTTAGACAAAATGGTAACTAACAACACACACACAGGATAACACATAAAAAAATGGATACCACACAAAATGATAACTATAGTAAAAACATGATCCCTGCAGACAGGACAACCACACAACAAGGATAACAAAAACAACGCAGAATGAAACCCACAGACAGGAAAACCCACACAAACTGGATAACCACACAGAATAACCAACACAGACAGGATAACCACACAAACAGGATAACCACACAGACAGGATAACCACACAGACAGGATAACCACCCCAGAACAGATAACCACACAGACAGGATAACCACACAGACAAGATAACCACACAGACAAGATAACCACACAGACAGGATAACCACCAGACAGGATAACCACCCCAGACAAGTAACCACACAGACAAGATAACCACACAGACAGGATAACCACACAGACAGGATAACAGCAACCACACAGACCAAGATAACCACACAGACAAGATAACCACACAGACAGATAACCACACAGACAGGATAACCACACAGACAGGATAACCACACAGACAAGATAACCACACAGACAGGATAACCCACACAGACAAGGATAACCACACAGACAAGATAACCACACAGACAGGTAACCACACAGCAGGTAACCACACAGACAGGATAACCACACAGACAGGATAACCACACAGACAGGATAACCACACAGACAGGATACCACACAGACAGGATAACCACACAGACATGGATAACCACACAGACAGATAACCACACAGACAGGATAACCACACAGACAGGATAACCACACAGACAGGATAACCACACAGACAGGATAACCACACAGACAGGATAACACACAGACAGGATAACTACACAGACAGGATAACCACACAGACAGGATAACCACACAGACAGGATAACCACACAGACAGGATAACCACACAGACAGGATAACCACACAGACAGGATAACCACACAGACAGGATAATCCACACAGACAGGATAACCACACAGACAGATAACCACACGACATGATAACCACACAGACATGATAACCACACAGACAGGATAACCACACAGACATGATAACCACACAGACAGGATAACCACACAGACATGATAACCACACAGACAGGATAACCACACAGAGATAACCACCAGACAGATAACCACACAGACAGGATAACCACAACAGACAGGATAACCACACAGACAGGATAACCACACAGACAGGATAAACCACACAGACACGATAACCACACAGACACGATAACCACACAGACAGGATAACCACACAGACCGATAACCACACAGACAGCGATAACCACACAGACAGGACAAAGACGGATAACCACACGACAGGATAAACCACACAGACAGGATAACCCACACAGACAGGATAACACACAGAAGGTAACAACAGACAGGATAACACACAGACAGGATAACTACACAGACAGGATAACTACACAGACAGGATAAACCACACAGACAGGATAACCACACAGACAGGATAACCACACAGACAGGATAACTACACAGACAGGATAACTACACAGACAGGATAACCACACAGACACGATAACCACACAGACAGGATAACCACACAGACAGGATAAACCACACAGACAAGGATAACCACACAGACAGGATAACTACACAGACAGGATAACCACACAGACAGGATAACCACACAGACAGGATAACCACACAGACAGGATAACTACACAGACAGGATAACCACAACAGACAGAATAACCACACAGACAGGATAACCACACAGACAGGAACTACACAGACAGGATAACCACACAGACAGGATAACCACACAGACAGGATAACTACACAGACAGGATAACCACACAGACAGGATAACCACACAGACAGGATAACCACACAGACAGGATAACTACACAGACAGGATAACCACACAGACAGAATAACCCACAGACAGGATAACCACACAGACAGGATAACTACACAGACAGGATAACCACACAGACAGGATAACCACACAGACAGGATAACCACACAGACAGGATAACACACACCGACAGGATAACTACACAGACAGGATAACCACACAGACAGAATAACCACACAGACAGGATAACCACACAGACAGGATAACTACACAGACAGGATAACCACACAGACAGGATAACCACACAGACAGGATAACCACACAGACAGGATAACTACACAGACAGGATAACCACACAGACAGAATAACCACACAGACAGGATAACTACACAGAGATCTCTATGACTGCTACAAAGATTTAGTAGTTGTGGTAAGCAGTAACTTGAAGCTAAGACAACAGTGCATCAGTCATCACAACAAAACACTAGGATTCTTGGCTTCATATCAAGAAGTATAAATAAGAGGAGTCCTCAGGTTATACCTCAATTCTACATATCCTTGGTAAGGCCTCGTGTACACTGTGCTGTAGTTCTGGTCACTGTATTAAGGAATGAATGTAAATTCGCTGGATGACGTACTAGGGAGGATGACAGGGGTTGGTGTGGGGTACCTGGAGGGTGCTTCGGGGGTCATCGCCCCCATGGCCAGGTCCCTCACCAGGTTTCGTTGATCTCATGTATCAGAAATATTTCCTACGAGGCTGAAATGGGTGTACTCGTAACAATAATTTTTAATGGGGTAAGGTGGTAGGCCAGTGGAAGGCTTCGGTCAGATGACTAAAAGCTCCAGTTGTGGGTCATCATATGACTTAAGACCCGCTTCAGGAAACACTTGTCCTGTTTCCTGATATACCTTACCCACCCTAACCCACCCTAACCCAACCCAACCCAACCTAACCTAACTTAACTTAACTTAACCTACCCTAATCCAACCTAGCCTAAGCTAATGTTTGCTACGAGGACAGACTGAGAGCACTGAAGCTACTCTCTAATACGGCGCACAATTTGGGGGACAATATGATTGAGGTGTATAAATGGAAGACAGGAATAAATAAAGGGGATGCAAATGTGTTAAAATCTCTCTGTTTGTTTGTTTGTTTGTTTGTCTGTCTGTCTGTGTCTCTCTCTCTCTCTCTCTCTCTCTCTCTCTCTCTCTCTCTCTCACACACACACACACTTGTTCTTCCTCTTCCTGACTATTATATATAATGTCAGTTTACACATGTTTGTGTACACGCGTGCGTGTGTGCGTTTATGTTGTGTGTGTTTATCTGGATGTCCTTACCTAAAGTGAAAGTCAAGTTGGCAGAGTCATCACTGTGTGTGTGTGTGTGTGTGTGTGTGTGTGTGTGGTGTGTGTGTGTGTGTGTGTGTGTGTGTGTGTGTGTGTGCGCGCGCGCGCGCGCGTGTGTGAAGGGGTTGAGTCACAGCTCCTGGCCCCTTCTCTTCACTGATCGCTACTAGGTCACTCTTCCCGTTCCATGAGCTTTATCATACCTCTTCTTAAAGCTATGTATGGATCCTGCCTCCACTACATCACTCCCCAGATTATTCCACTTCTTGACAACTCTGTGGCTTAAGAAATAATTACTAACATCCCTTTGACTCGTCTGTGTCTTCAACTTCCAACTGTGTCCCCTTGTTGCTGTGTCCAATCTCTGGAACATGCTGTCTCTGTCCACCTTGTCGATTCCTCTCAGTATTTTATATGTCGTTATCATATCCCCCCTATCTCTCCTGTCCTCCAGTGTTGTCAGGTCGAGTTCCCTTAACCTCTCCTCGTAGGACATACCCCTTAGTTCCGGGACTAGTCTTTTTGCAAACCTTTGCACTTTCTCTAGTTTCTTTACGTGCTTGGCTAGGTGTGGGTTCCAAACTGGTGCCGCATACTCCAATATGGGCCTAACGTACACGGTGTACAGGGTCCTGAACGATTCCTTATTAAGATGTCGGAATGCTGTTCTGAGGTTTGCTAGGCGCCCATATGCTGCAGCAGTTATTTGGTTGATGTGTGCCTCAGGAGATGTGCTCGGTGTTATACTCACCCCAACATCTTTTTCCTTGAGTGAGGTTTGTAGTCTCTGACCAACCTAAACTGTACTCCGTCTGTTGTCTTCTTTGCCCTTCCCCAATCTTCATGGCTTTGCACTTGGTGGGGTTTAACTCCAGGAGCCAATTTCTGGACCAGGCCTGCAGCCTGTCCAGATCCCTTGGTAGTTCTGCCTGGTCCTCGTCCGACTGAATTCTTCTCATCAACTTCACATCATCTGCAAACAGGGACACTTCGGAGTCTATTCCTTTCGTCATGTCGTTCACAAATACCAGAAACAGCACCAGTCCTAGGACTGACCCCTGTGGCACCCCACTCGTTACAGGCGCCCACTTTGACACCTAGCCAAGTACCATGACTCGCTGCTGTCTTCCTGACAGGTGTTCTCTGATCCACTGTAGTGTCTTCCCTGTTATCCCTGCCTGGTCTTCCAACTTATGCACTAATCTCTTGCATGGAACTGTGTCAAAAGCCTTCTTACAGTCCAAGAAAATGCAATCTACCCACCCCTCTCTCTCTTACTGCTGTCACCTTGTCATAGAACTCCAGTATGTTTGTGGTACAGGATTTCCCGTCCCTCAACCCTGCTGGTTGTCGTTGATATGCACATTCATTTCTAGGTGCTCCACCACTCTTCTGATAATCTTCTCCATGACTTTTATAATAAACATGTTAGTGACACTGGTCTGTAGTTTAGTGCTTCGTGTCTGTGTCCTTTTTTATAATATGTGACTACATTTGCTGTCTTCCATACCTCAGGTAGTCGCCCTGTTTCAAGAGATGTGCTGAAGATTGTTGTTAGTGGTACATACAGTGCCTCTGCTCCCTCCCTCAGGGCCCATGGAGAGATGTTATCCAGCTCCATCGCCTTGGAATATCTAGCTCACTTAGCAGCCTCTTCACTTCTTCCTCGGTTGTGTGTACTGTGTCCAACACTTGGTGGTGTACCCCACCTCTCCGTTTTTCTGGAGTCCCTTCTGTCTCCTCTGTGAACACTTCTTTGAATCTCATGTTGAGTTCCTCACATACTTCTCGGTCGTTTCTTGTTACCTCCCCTCCATCGTTCCTCAGCCTGATTACCTGGTCCTTGACTGTTGTTTTCCTCCTGTGGCTATACAACAGCTTTGGGTCAGATTTGGCTTTTGCTTCTGTGTGTGTGTGTGTGTGTGTGTGTGTGTGTGTGTGTGTGTGTGTGTGTGTGTGTATGTGTGTGTGTGTGTACTCACCTAGTTGAGGTTGCGGGGGTCGAGTCCAAGCTCCAGGCCCCGCCTCTTCACTGGTCACCACTAGGTCACTCCCCCTGAACCGTGAGCTTTATCATACCTTTGCTTAAAGCTATGTATGGATCCTGCCTCCACTACATCGCTTCCCAAATATTCCACTTCCTGACTACTCTGTGG